TGCCCAATGTGGACATCTACCTCCACATAAAGTCTGCAAGAACTTGGGAAGTTATTCTAGATAGAAAAGAATAGTTAGACACGGCTTCTTGATAGCAACACTTTCTTGGGTGAGCTCTGTTTGCTAGAGGCAAGTGCTCTTATTTAAGAGAGGCTTCCTGACTCAGCTTTACCTGTAAAACCTTGCATCTCTTTCAAGAGGTCCTGCCACAAAACGCTTAAATGATGTTGATGAAAAGCTGACTGCATACTTTTTGGTGATGGCAGGGACCTTGAAACACCATAGAGCTGTGGCAATAAACATGTCTCTGGCAGTACCTCAGCCATGAGGCTAGACCCTCAAAAAAATAGCTAAGAAATAGGCTGAATCCAGCTATCAAAGCCATGACTTTAATCCTAGCCATATCGCTTAGAAAACTAAAGACTCATGTGGTCAAAAAAAGAGAGATATACAGTAAAGATATATTCAAAGATGAAGAAAACCTCTAAACGGTTTACTGTATATTTAAAAATATATGAGGGCTTGGGGGGGGGATAGATTCCTTAAAAGAAAAAAAGAGAGTAGTTTGGTGTGGTGGCACACACCTTTAATCCCAACACTTGGGAGGCAGAGGCAGGAGAATCTCTGTAAGTTCAAGGACAGTCTGGTCTACAGAGTGAATTCCAGAACAGCCAAAGATACACAGAGAGGCCCTGTCTCAAAAAGCCAAAAAATAAAAATAAAAGAAATGGAGTTTAAAATAAAGCCAGATAAGGATGAAAAATACACAGAGAGTCTGGACACTGTATGTTGTGCTGTCTTTAAATTGTTTGGTGACTGAGGAAAGAGCAAAAGCTGTTAAAAGGTATCTGATTATAAATGCTGCTGGATTAAGTTTTGACTTTAAAATTAAGTCAAAAGTTATGTTACTTTGGAGAAAAGGTTTTGCCACAGGAAATGAGAGGCGTGAATTCATTCTGGGTTAAGAAAAATCAGGTCTGGTCAAGGAAGAACCCTGAGAAATTTCCGATAGGAACAGATGGCCCAGATGTCTAAGTTCTACATCTAGAACAGTTCAAAGACTGTTGCCTGAGATGATCAAGCCTCACAGGATACTCCAGTCAGGACTTGATCATAATTCTAAATTTTCTTTAGGGCTACATAAGATTATCAGCACTTCCAATCAGCAGGAAGTAGCCTGGAAAATTTTGTCCACATTCCCAAAAAATGGACTATGGATATTTTTCTTTGTTTAGAATGTTGGTTACAAGTTGTTATGGATAATAGTCGGGAAGAAAACTAAACAAGGGAGTTTCAATTCAGAGTTCTTGCTTAAAAGGGGGGAAAGTGCTGTGGGACAATGGTCTTTTATCCTGTCACTTGTATTATTTTTAATAAAATCTGATTGGCCAGTAGCCAGGCAGGAAGTATAAGTGGGGTGACGGTGACCAGGCAGAAAGTAGAGGCGAAGCAACAAGAATTATGGGAAGAGGAAAGTTTCAGTCTGCAGTAGTCACCCAGACACAGAGGAAGCAAGATGTGACTACCTAACTGAGAAAGGTACCAAACCACATGGCTAACAGAGACAAGAATTATGGGCTAATATAAGCTCTAAGAATAAGAAGCCTGAGCTAATAGGACAATCAGTTTATTATTAATGTGGGACCTGATGGGACAGAAACTTCTGTCCACACACCCCTGATATCTGACTCTGGGATTTAATTATTAAGAACAACTAGAATTTATGCTACACCATGTAGCCTCCAGGTAAGATCCACAAGGAGGGCAACTACATAAAAAGAAAACAGATTTAATAAGAAGACTGAGGATAACAGTAGAGGCGTCTGCACCTGGAGCAAAGGAGGCTCCCAGTGGTGAGAGTCTACTGTGTTCCAGGGATCCATGAGGTCAAGAAAGAAATCAATAGTTGGCTGGCAGTGGTGGACACACCTTTATTCCCAACACCTGGGAGGGTCTGAGTTCAAGGCGAGTCTGGTCAAGAGTTCCGGACAGCTGGGGCTACAGGGATTAACCCTGTCTTGGAAAAACCACAGAAAAAACACACACACACACACTTCACACGGTGCACCTCCCACAAGGGATGGGCCATCCACTCTAATATCCTCAGTAGCCATGTCACATGTGGCCATAGTGGAAACATAGGGTAGAACAAAGGACCTTTAAAATAAAAAAAGAGCAGAGTGAAATTAGAGAAATAACCCCAACTCCAACCAGCAGGACCTTAGAGCGGGTATGAGCAGCTTCTGAAGTCTCCATTACAGTAACCTGGCCACACTGAGGGTCTGCACCCCAGTGGGACCAACGGTGCATCTTCAGCTCCGAGGTCTCTGGGCCGGAGAAGCCTCCCTCAGGCCCCATAAGGAGAAGGTGTGAGGAGGGTGGCTATGCCCTCCATTCTAGGTCCCTCTGCGAGGCAGCGAATGTCTTCTGATTGAGATCCACAGAGAGAGATGTTTGTTAGGAGACAGGAAACTGCTTATTTTTCACCAAACTACTGTGGTTTGGGGAAGGCATATCAGATATTTACATTATGATTTATAGCAGCAGTAAAATTACAGCTATGAAGTAGCAACATGAGGCACTGTACTAAAGGTCACAGTGTTACGAAGTTTGAGAACCACTGCTCTCGGCACAAAACAAACCATCACTACTCAGTTCCCCTGTAGTCAAGTACAACCGCACGGCTGTGTGCTAGCCAGGGCGGCAGGGACAAACATGTAAGCATGAGTAACACATTTCACTTTGTAAGCTTGACCCTTGACATGAGAGTGGGTGAATGGAAAGTCTGGGGGAGGGGTGTGGGGCACATCAGACAAAGAAGGCTAAGAAAGACTACGTTTATTTTTCTAGTACGATTACAGTGTATGTAAGAGCTGGGAAGCAATTCCAAGAAATGTAATGATAAGAGACAGATAGAGACAACTTGGCTTTTAGGCTAAATCAGTAAACAAGAACAGTCATCTCAGATCGACTAGGAGCTGTACATAACACAGAAATAAAAACATGCGATGATCCTCTATTGCCCAAGGACCATCACTGTTGAAACTGGTTCGTTCTATCTGCGTATTCTTTGAAAAAATTGTTTCCTTCTGATTATATAATATTAAAAATGTTTCTCAGTAGCTACAGTGGTAGAATCAGGTCACTTCATTCTTGGGTTTGGAAAATATAATCGGGCAGTTAAACAGCAAATGGGTTCCCAGAGAAAACAGCAGCATCATCAAACACCAGAAGCTTTACTCACGGCGAAAGACGAAAATCTCCGCATTAGCTAGAAAGAGAGTTGGTTTCCAACACAGGTTCTCGACAGACCTAGACCTTTAGGATGACACTGTATCTATTAACTACAATTAACAGAGGTACAAGAATGCATCAAAATGACACCTGGATATTACTAAGGCTTCAGTTCTTTTATAAATTATTATATGTGCCCGAAGTTCCTATATTTATACTTAAGAGTGTTTTGTTTTCTTAATCTAAAAAATAACTAGTACCCTGCTTTTGTTGGCCTACGATACAAAGTACCATTTTCAAGCCTAATTTTGAACTTTCGTGCCACCATAGAATATTACATAATGTTCTTGTTTGAATATGCCCCCTACAAAATTTCTATGTGGAACCCTCTCGTCAAAGTCTTAAGGCTCAGAGGGGCCATAGGCGATCTGGTGGTGAGGGTGGCGCCTCCTGGAGCAGCTTTGGTGCACTTGTAAACGCGTCCCAAGAACTACTTGACTTTCCAGTACTGAAGCCAAACATTTATAAACTAGGGAGACTCTCCAAACAGTAAATATGATCTGAAGAAAGGGTGGGGATAACAAGCAATTGTTTCTGACACTCGGTTAGGTCTCTGGTGTGGGGCTGAAGAGATGGCTCAGAGGTCGAGGGCACTGGCTGCTCTACCAGAGGTCCTGAGATCAATTCCCAGCAAGCATGATGGCTCACAACCATCCGTGATGAAGTCTGGCGCCCTCTTCTGTTGTGACAGAACAATGTATACATAATAAATAAACAAACACACAAAGTCTACAGTGTGCTGTTATATAAACTGGAGCGGACTCAGAAAAAAATCATTCTTACTAATAGTTCTCACGCGGAAATACAAATTTTTCCTTCTGCCATGGTTTAAGACAAATACAAAAGTATCTCTCCCGGTACTGCCTGCACTCCCGAGGGCTTGCAGGATCCCGAGCTCAGCGAGCGCCCTCTGGCGGCTGCGCAGATAGGCCGACGGCTTGGCGCGTGCGCAGTCCGGGCTGGCGCGCGTTCCCGCCCCATCCCCGCCCCCACGTGCGGCCCGTGGGAGAAAAGGCTGGGCGGCGCCATCAGGGACGCCCGCCCGCCCGCCCGCCCGCCCGCGCGCGTCTCCGTCCTCCGTCGTACCGGAGTGGGCTCTCGGGCCGTCCCCTCTCAGGAGCCTGTCGCCGGAAGACGTCGCGGACACACGCGCCCACGCCGCAGCCTCTGGCCGCCTCCCCCACCGTCTCCCGAACTGGCCGCTAGCGTCTTCGCATCACTATGGTTACGAGCAAGCGGACCCTTGACGCTACGCGCCTCCTCTCTACTCTCGCGAGAACGCGGCGTTGCCTCACTTCCGGTCCGTAGGCCTGAGTCCGTTCCCGAAAGTTCTCGCTTCCGGCGTACCACACTTCCGGGCACGGCTTCTCTTCCGCCTGCTGGGGCGAGTTCCAGGTTGAGGCCGGATGCTGCGGGTGCTGCGTGGCCTGCGGGGCGTGGCGGTGAGTCCGGGGTCGGCAACCCCGCTCCTCTCCAGACACCTGCGCCCCCAGGGCCCTGTCCTACCGCCCCTCTCGTCCCACCCCGCCTCCTCCCCTTTCTGCCGTTCCCTACTCTTTACCCCTTCTCTCCACCCCCTTCCCCACTCTCGGTGCCCGGGACCCAGCTGCACGCATCTTGGTCGCCTGGACGAGCATCCCCGGTCAAGCCTGTCACCCGCGCCTTCCCAGCACAGCGGCTGCAGATGAGGGAGTCCCCGAGCTGAGTGTCTCGGCGATGGCTACTCCCTGGAGGTGCGCCCTGTTGATGATCCTGGCGTCCCAGGTGGTGACCCTGGTAAAATGCTTGGAAGAGGACGACGTCCCGGAGGAGTGGCTCCTTCTGCACGTGGTCCAAGGCCAGATAGGAGCCGGGAATTACAGCTACTTGCGGTTGAACCACGAGGGTAAAATTATTCTCAGGATGCAGAGCCTCAGAGGGGATGCGGACCTGTACGTGTCCGACACCACTCTGCACCCAAGCTTTGATGACTATGAGCTGCAGTCGGTCACTTGCGGCCAGGATGTGGTCTCTATACCGGCGCACTTCCAGCGCCCGGTGGGGATAGGAATTTATGGACACCCCTCACACCATGAAAGCGACTTTGAGATGAGGGTGTACTCTGACAGAACTGTGGATCAGTACCCATTTGGAGAGGCTGCCTATTCTGCTGACCCCACAGGAGCCAGTCAGAACCAAGCTTATGCTCCAGAGGAGGCAGCCCAAGAGGAGGAATCGGTCCTCTGGACGATATTGATTAGCATTTTGAAATTGGTGCTGGAAATTCTCTTCTGAACCTTTATTTGCACGGATCGACTGGTTTGCCGCGGACCTTGTTACTTGACCTGGTGAAATTCTGGTTACTTTTTCTAGACTAGGATGGAAAAATAAAGCCATACAGTTTTGTTACCTCAGTTTACTCCCCAAGCAGGAAAAGCAGCAAGCACAATATTTTATAGATTAAAATTTCTACAAAAGGAGTCTGCTCAATAAAATGTTTAAATACATTTTGGTTAGTCAGGTGAGTAAAATGATCCCTGCAGTAACAGGCTGTATAAATCAGATTAAACTTTTGTGCTAGTGCAGATGAAATTAAAAGGCTGTAGAATTTATTCTCTAGACATTCTAAATGAAGTCCAGCACTTGGAGCTTTAATGAGGTCCTAAAGCCAGGTCGGGAATGCGATGACAGCCTCTGTGCACAGGAGGGACAGGGTACCTGATACTCAAGGCCTCTGCAGACTGTTGCTGTGCCAGCTGATGGCCGTCCCGGATCCAGTTGGACCAGGTCCTGGGCTGACAGGAGTAACCCTGATACTGCCTACGCAGGCCAGGACAGTCATAGCAAACGGTAACTTTGACTCAAGAAGGATTTCAAATTAAGTTGATACATTTTTCAGGATTTCAAATTAAGTTGATACATTTTTCTGCTGATCTCCGGAAAAAGACAGCACAAAAGAGATTAAAATCTGGGGAAATGAGCCATTTCTCTTGACTTTCTTTCAAGGGTAGGAGTTGCTAATGATGAAATAAATCAACTTGAAGATGTTTAAGGTCATAGTTAATTTCAAAAAAAAGTTCTTTATTGGCATAAAAATGAAAGTGTAAATAAATTGGCACCAAATATCCCAAACATGAGGGTCAAAAACCTATTTTTAGCCCTCTTTGCTGTTTTTTCCCCTTCTGCCCACTTTCCTGGGTGTTGGGGGAGCTCGCTGACAACAGTCACAAATCCAGCGACCTAGGAGAAAAATTGTTAGTTAATATGGAGTGGAATTTTATTTTTATAGGACTGAGTACAAACCACCTAAACTCATTCCTGAGCTATCTATCCATAGTGATAACTCTGGGACTTTTCAGTGGGGGCGGGAGCGCTAAGCTCCTTAAACAAGGAAGAAAACAAAAACAGCCCTAATCAGTGTAACCAATGCAGTGTAGGATTTAGTGCACGGAGGGCACAAAACAATCATTTGTACCTTTAAAAAGATACATTGTAATCCTTCCTAAAATCCAGATACCATCATGCTCTAAAACCTCAGCAGCACTTGTCCTAATGGAGAACCTGCCGATGAGTCTGCCTTCTGTGACCCTTCTCCACCATTCTCACGGTTCTCTCCATGGCACTTTAAAGCCAGCACCTCTACCACACACTTGAGCTGAATTACTACAGAACCTTAAGTGATGGGACTCCAGGAAACATACAAAGTACTGTACAGTGTTAACTATGCAACTAAGTTCTTAAAATTGCACAATTATCTGTATAATATTTCAATAGAATTACTGTGATTTACTATTTGATTCTGTGTCCATCCTAAAATTATCTGGAATTGTCATGCTGCCTCCTTTATAGAAAGATGTCTTAGTATATAAAGGCGTAACAGCCACTTCGTTAAGTTTCTAAATAGATGACCTTTAAAAATAAAAATCAAAGCATTGGAACAAACTGGGTGTTACTTAGCAATTTTAGTAGAAAACACCAGCTCATTCTATCCCCAGACAATACTTGCAGACATAACCTAAGCACTCTATTTCATTTCTTCTTTGGTTGCACTAAGGATGGAAGTCAGGTAGCTGTGACATGGACAATAATGACCTGATCATAATTGGAACACTTATGCAGCCTTAAAAAAAGTGCTGGGAGATCTTCAACACACATCTTTACCTGATGGAATAGCACCAAGGCCCACACAAAAAGTATGATAACCTCTGTCACACACATCACAGAACATCATTTCTTCTTCGTGGTGGGGCTGTCCACATATAATGCATGTCTTACATTCCATACACTGCCATGGGTAGGTCTTAATCATAGAAACAAGCTCCATGGTCATATCCAAGCAAGAAGGGTGGCCTAAATCAAAACCAACATTAATAGCATTTCACAATAAAACTTTTAACTTAATGCATATAAAATATTAGTTCCCAAGAATGGCTGTCATGATTACTATCACCATAAACATCAAAATCAAGACACAGGACACATGGGTCCATTTGTTGGTTCTTTGGTGGATGCCTGGCTGACAACTACGAACCCTAGTTTCTGAGGCACACGCAGGGGGAGGTTAGAATCTTAAGGAGACATCTCTACTTACCACTGTTATCACACTGGGAGCAGTGTATAAGTGATTCAGCCTTTCCTTTCTTGTTGGACTCCTTACCCTTCAGACAAATTCCACATAGAGCATTTGGAATGACCTTTGGCTGGAAGGGTAGAAGAGGGCTATAAATTCATGCCAGAAGAACTCACTATGGTTCAAAAGGGATCTGTTATTACCTTTACTTTTGGTTATTTGATAATGAGAACCTTATAACTGGAAATAAAACATAAAACCCCCTACCTATGGAAACCTAGGCTGCACCCCATAACATAGCATAAACTGCTGCCTGGATGTAGCTCTGTGCTCTCTGCACACAAAGCATCAGCTACATAAAGACCAGGAAGGAAAAATGAAATAGGAATAGGGGTAAAGAAAATCCATGTGCCAAATGACCACACAGAAAAGCTAAGCCTAAGTTTTAAGCAACTTATATATTCACTTTATTTCAAAGTCTGATATTTTTCCAGAGATACAAAGCTGAACCTAAAAAATCTAAGTTAAAAAAACCAATATTTTAACATTTTAATTGAAAGATTTCTCATCATCCACTGTTGTGCATAAATGTCTTTAGAAATCTGAGTTGTATGCAAATCCTGTTCCATGTCTAAAAAGTTAGGAGAGCAGCATTCACTTCCCTGTGACACGTCAGGAACAAAAGGTGCTTCCAGACAAGGAAAGTTAGGGACAAGGAAACAGACAAAGCATATTTTGAGTATTATCTTTCAGATTAAAGACATACACATTATTAGGGCTTTAAACAGGTGTAGGATAAAGAATAAGGGGTTTCCTAAACCTAAAATGCCAGGGAAAGGAAGGGCATAGGCAAAGAAGGGCTCTCTGAGCATCAGAAGCCTGACCTCCACGTGGTACTCACGTGGACTACATACAGGTGCGCATCAGTAAATGGTAAAACGGGGAGGGACAAAGATGATAACAGGGTAATAGTCTAGCAGTAAATACATTGTTTCTTTTCTAAATTACTGTACCACAGACATCTAAACTCAAACTTTCACAAAGCAGTATCACTGTAAATGCTTCACTGCCACTTGTATATCCAGTCAGACCTAAATAATTTGTTTTTACTTTTAATATTTTCTTGGCAAAAGATGACAGAGGCATTCAAAAACAATTTTTGGCTTATTTATTTTTTAAAAAGTCAACCTTATACATAAATATGATAAAACAATATCTAAACAATCACAAATGTCTCTACAAAATAATAAATATCATGAGGTTAAACACACATATAAAATGTCCCCAGTGACTACGCTCCATCTCCTCTGTGTGTTCTATACCCTGCTCTCCCAGAACTGGCAGCAGTTAGTTACTCTGCTGTTCTTGCTTCATCCTAAGTACATGGTTTCACTGCGTCCAGGAAGTTCAGTTCTAATGCTGCATCTTAACTGCCATACTGTGCAGCAGAACTTTCCACAACCTGCACTAAATGTAAAAGATAAACTTACTGGATACTGAGTTCAGTTAGACACTGGCGTAGTAAGTACTCTCATTTCTTTCACTAAAGTCAGGGAAGAAACTACACAATATTCAATTGTGAAAAGAGAATTCCTCATAGGAGACTCTTTACAAAGCAACTCAAAAAGAATAAAACACAAATCTAGTTATTCACATTCTAGAGCAATTCAAGTTCTACAGTCACTAAAATACATGTAATGCCTACAACAAGAGAGACACTAAGAAAATTCAAGGTTTACCTTTAAAATTATACATAATGTTTTGTTAAACCATTTAAAAAAATTTTTCTTACCCAATAATCTTCATCTTGGTGAAAAGAAAAATACGGGAGAAGACAGAATGGGAGCAGGGAAGAAGGATGAAGAAAGAGGGTGACAGGAGGAGGAGGGGCAGCACGTCAGAGAGCCTGCGTCCAGGGCCTCACAGACAGCCTGAAGACAGCACTGAGGGGGAGAGGGAAGGTGCAAATCCCTTGAAGATCATGGGGGAAGACCCTCTGCCTCTTATGAGACCCTCTGATCTCTTTCAAACAACTGCAACAACCTTTTAGTTTTCTTCACCCGACAGCCCTCAGCACCTCAAACAAAAGGCTCATGGATACTTACTTCTCTTGTTGAAAACAGCAAAATAAGTTGAAACCTTGATGGTAGCACTAACATAGTATAGATTTCAATTATGTGTGTAGGCCGGACGCCTAACAATTACACTTTAATTCCAGGTTAATGTAACCTAAGTAATACTGTCCTACAAGTCCATCTCAGTAAACCACATACATGATCATGTGTGTTTGTGTGTATCTATGTCTGAGTGTCAGCTTGAAGTACCCTAATATTTAGGCACATCTTGGCTCATTAATACTTTTCATAGAGAGGTTAACTTTTAATAATCATGTTCACATTAATATATAATATCTATATATTGACTGTTCCTATCTTTGAAATACCTGAAACATTTTTAGTTACTAAAAATGTTTACAGATTATAAAATGTTTACTTTGCATATGCAGCTCCCTTGAGTACTATTAACTAAGATTAATCTATATGATCCATTCACTAGATCAGTGATGATATGGATAGTTCTTCATTGGTAGCCTGTATTATATGTCTATGTCAATATTCTCTATTTTATAATGCATGATCAAACAGCTTCCTCAGCCCTGGGAGCTCTAAGACAGTGACACATACTGGCCCCTGCAGGCTGTTTCTAAAATGTCATCTTTGGAGTTTGTTTGGTTTCAATTATTAAGCAGTAACTGAAATCTTTAGTTTACAAAGCATAGATAAGCTATACATGTATAAAAAAAATACAATCTGCTGGCCATACACAAAAGCATGTGGCATTTCTAATAGCTCATGGAACATTGTATTAATGATGGACACTCAGCAAGTGTTCCATGAGGCTGAGGAAAATGGCTCACAGCTCACTTCTGCTAGTTTCTGTGCCACATGCTATGGTTCCAATGCTAACACATACAGTCCAGCACACCAGGACCCGAACTGGAAGCTGGGCAGTGCCATCCACGTCATACAGCTGACCACTAAGTCCATTCCTCCTACGCTCACACCCTCTGCACCACTACAGCTGCTCCCCTCACCCAACCTTCTGAAGGAGAGGTAGACAGAAAAGAAACACTAAAAACACCAGAGCTTCTGATCCTCCAGGACCTTACTCAGAATAATCAGATCCACAAGCTAGGCTTTCGTCCTTGTCGACCATGGTACCCCACTATCTGCCAGAGGTTCCACAAAAGCATGATGTAAGTAACAGGCTTCACGGTTGTCTATACCAAACTTGGCAGATTTGGCAACTGGACCAACAGTCCTTAGAGAAAGCCCAGATCTTCTCAGTGAAGGCACTACAGAAACACCACCTGATGAGCTCCACTCCTACTTCACAGCTCACCAAGCTTAGCTTTACCAACTGCTCAGATAGCTAACAATCTAGACAATTATGCCCTGTCCTCAAAAAAAAAAAAAA